ACACAACCATTTCATCCTCGAACACGGTTAACGAGCACGCTGCAATGATTAATCATCGACCAAACGAACGAACGAAGGAAAGCTGCTGCTGCTGCTGCTGCTGCTGCTGCTGCTACTGCTGCTACTGCTGGAAAGAAGATTCTAAAAAGTTTGTCCATTTTCGATTGAAAATCGATCGAATTTTCGGTAAGTTCTTGTTTTTTTTTTTTTTTTTTTGCACGTACATATATATATACATTTACCTACATATCTAGCACGTGTTAGGATCCCCTTTAACCAACAACGCGTTTCACGCGGGAACACGAGGCATCGTTTGTCGTTCACGTACTTTTTACCGAGCACAAGCTTCGGCACTTCGGTTAATCCGAATGCCTCGACTATAACGGGTGTATTTTGTATTATTTGATTTACGATACTCTAAGGAAATTCGTACATCAACGACAATTGGGAACTTGAATGATATGCCAAGATCTATAATGACGTATACACGATTCGAGATCAATCGTAGACAAGATTTTCATCTATTTAACTAAAAATGAAATAAGGGATATAAAAAGAATCATAATAGAACACCCGGTATTGTCGAAGTAACGATATAGCAGGAACACTCGAAACACGCGGCCTATTCCCTGCTTGAACGAGGGAAATACGCATACAAGGAGGTTTAACAGGGTGAATATAGAAGTGGCTCCCTCTATAGAAGTCTCGGAGGTTTCCCTCCACAAGGAAAAGGGATGGAATGAGGAAGAAGGACATAGGTGTAGTAGTACCTACACGACAACGATAATACCTGCACGCGTGCACGAGTAGTAATAAGACAAAGACGAGAAAAAGGAATGAAGGGGAGAGAAAAGGTGCTTCGAAACAGTGTGGGTTTCAGAAAAGGAACTTAGGGTGGGACAGCTAAGGGAAGATATAAGCGTAATAGAAAACAGAGAACGCGGCAATGCCATTAGTAAAATTACCGCTTACAATATTACCGATGCGAGCTGGCAGTAGGTATTTACGAAACCCGTCCTAGCCCTTCCGCACCCCTTTGCGATTCCCCGAGATGGCGCCAAAGGCGCACCGTGCCCGTTAAAACCACCCCTACGATCATTCTCTTCAAAGTACGAAAATTTACCACAGGAATACGTCTTAACGCTTTTTCTCACCTTAGTAACTATTTTCTTTTTCTTTTCTTTTTTTTTTACTAACAACTTAAGCTAATGACATTAATTTTTGGACAATTGCAGTTGCACGTAGTAGTGACGTTAGACGAAAATTCCTTTTGGGAAACTTTTATTGATTTCTTTCGGATTCTTGCTTACTAACAAGGATCTAAAAAGATCTATCGATAGTTTTTCCTTTTCATTTAAAAGGAAATTATTCAAAGAAAAATAAAAACAAATAAATGGAAAGAAATTGGTTGAAACGTATATAAAATTGATAGAATAATGCGTTGTCGAAAATAATGAATGTAAATATTAAATTAATTAGAAAGAGAGTTAAAAAGAGAGAGAAATAGAAATAAAAAAAAAAAAAAAACGAGAGAAAGAGAGAGAAAGAATTTGAACGTTTCGTCACGCCGAAAAAGGTACCGTACGTGGTTTATTTTTTTTTTTTGTTACCCATACGTTTGAACGAACTGCAAAGAGTCGATCGATTTTTCGTGCGCACTGCGACCAAGTTATTCGAACGAATCGCGTCGAAGGAGTAACGGATGGATAGGCACATAACGGAGGATCGGCGGGAGAACGCGCGGTCACTGATTTAACGCGGCACAATTGAATCCAATTACAACTGCCGCACGGCGCACCACCACCAACCACCACCACTACCATCACCACTACCAACAACGCCACCGCCATCACCCATTGGGGGGACCGATGGTTCTCATGTCAGTTAAAACCAACTTTGCATTTCTTCTACCTGTTTAACTCGCCTAAGATTCTCCATCAAACTATTACACCCCATTGTCTTATTATCAAATACAACGTGTAAAATGAAACAAAAGAAAATTAATTAAACAATATATATATATATAGACCTCTTTATTATTATTATTATTATTAATTCTAATTTGTAATAATACTCGCGTGTGGGATCTCGTTGTTTCGCCCAAGGTTCTTTTCACAATTTGTGCAATGCACACGTTGTACGATGAAAAGCTAATGGCAGTCTGAAATTATTGATGTGTCTCAACGAACATTTCGTAGCCCTCCCACCCCCCCCCTTCCCCCGATCATCGACGTTACACACGTAACTCTACGTCGAGTTGGTAGCATTAATTAAATGAAAGGCTCATACACATTTATATGTACATATGTACCATCACGTCCGTGTAAATTCGTTTCATTCATTAACAATTTCAATCCTTTTCTTAAAACGAAACTCACAGTCACGCAGAGGAAACCCAATGGATTCGTTAAATGTAAAATTAAAATTACTTGCTACCGTGGAGAATATGTATCGTTAATAAATTTACTTCGAAAGGAGAGGAAAAGAGAAAGAGAGAGAGAGAGACAGAGAGAGAGTGAGTGAAAGAGGGATGGAAGTTTGAACGAAAAAAAAAAATAAAAGAAATAGGAGAGAGAGAGAGAGAGAGAGAGAGAGAGAGAGAGAGAGAGAGAGAAGGCCGAGGTAAAATAGCTAATAAAGAAGTCATTTAATTTTCCATCCTTTTCTTCCCATTCGATCGAGCAAAGTTCCGTCGTTATCTTAATTAAGTTTCAAGCCGACGAGCACACGTGATCGCCGCATAATCGCTTCGGAGTCCATTAAATGGATGGAGGAGGAGGAGGAGAAGGAGAAGGAGAAGAAGAAGAAGAATAAGAAGAAGAAGAAGAAAGTAAGAGAAAGAGAGAGGAAAAAAAAACAAGCAAAAAGAAAAAGAACCAGAAAAAAATGAGGATCCAAAGAAACGTTGAACGGACATCGAAAGAACACGTTTATCGCACAGATAGAAGCTTATACCCTATCTTTGAACTTTTCAAATTATCATACCGAATTCGATGAGAAAATCTCTTTCTCTTTGGGTTATTCATCGTTTCCGCATCGATAAAAGTGTCCTCGATAAGATCGCTGTGCTGGATGTAACGTACGGTGAACGAACGAAGGAGGTGAGATCGTAAGAAAAAGAAGAAGAAGAAGAAACAAAAGGAAAAGATAGAATGAAAGAACGGTGTCCAAGTATTCATCGTCTTTGATCGATTTCTGCTTGGTCTGCGGTCCTCTCTCAAGCGGCTCGTCGAAACGAACGCTTGCCGAGCAACCGAAGCAACGTAATCCGTCTGTCTCGTACTAGATGGCGTGCTTCAGTAGCTGGTCTACTGGGCGCCCCTGGCTGTTCATTAGGGGCCGCATTGTCCGCTAACTAAGTACGCCCGACCCGACCCTTCTTCCTACTCCTAAAACTCCCCTCTCCTCATCCACCCACCCTTCAACCTGCTACGCAGCTTTTCCTTTTCCTCCTACCCTCTCTTTCTCTCGCTCACTCTGATGTCTCCTCTCCTTTGGCCAATATCCAACGGGAGCAGGATTAGCTGCTAGCCATCAGCCCCTCTTCACGATTCCCCTTTGCACTCCCACTCTCTTGCACTCACTACTCTCATTCCTACCGACCTACACATGCCGTGACACTTGACAATTTTACCTACTAAAAGACTCTAACTAATACCGATTATGTAATAATACTCTAACTATTAAGTATATACTACCTAGAATCCGTAAAATCCGTACGTAGCATCCGTAAAAATGTGGCTTCTATTGGACATTTGTTTTCTTTTACTTTTCTATTAATCATATTATTTGTAACATCGTTGAAATTTTATTCTACTGTTATTGTATACTATTCCTACTTCTCCTTGTCCTTAGTCTATCTATCTTTATCTTTCTCTCTCTCTCTCTCTCTCTCTCTCTCTTGTCTTCTATCCAATACGCTCCCAAGTCAGGTCGCGCAATGTATAGTCCATTGTGTCCACGATAGAATCCAATCAAGGGGCTGGCAAGCCACTTTAAAGCATCGACGTCACGGCCAATCAAACGTCTCCCTTGCACATGCAAATACATGTCGACATATATAATATATATATATACATTCGTAGTAGTATTCGTTAGCTACGTTAACTTATTTAGCTCGACGCCTTCATTGTTTTAACCTTTGACTTATTGTGTTCTCTAACAATTAAGAGAAAATAATCCAAAGTGAACAAAAAACATCATCTTATACGAACCCGAATGAAGTTTAATCATCAAATAAGAATGATTAATTTCTAACACACACACACACATCTACGTAAGTTTTATAGTTAAATGAATGTAACTACAAAGAATGTAAGTATAAATATAATAAATATAAGGTTAGAGTGTAGTCGTGCGTTAATTCCATTCGTCCTCGTTGCCGACTAACGAATGTGCATTACAATTACCGAGCTATGGAAATTCAGTTACGCCTACTACCCGTACAGAGTAGTGCGCGTGGTTTGAGTTATATGCCAAGTGAGAGAGAGTGAGTGAGTGAGAGAGAGAAAGGGATGAAAGAGACGGAAGGAGAGGGAGAAAGCCGACACGAACGAACGAACGAACGAACGAACGGACGGACGTATGGCTAACTTGGCCGCCCCTCGATGAACCAACCGAGGTCGCCGGGTCCGTATTATCCGCTCGGTATAACTAACCGTATAAATACGAGCCACCGGAAATTAGTCTTTGCGACTCGATCGCGAGCCACGCCATAACGCCACTACGCCTCACCATCATTCCCACCTATCCACTCCATCCAATCCACCTCATCCTCCTCTCATCCTCGTCCTATTCCTCCTCTTCATGCTACTACTGCTAAACCTTTCTCGACATGTGTTCCATCTACTCTCTTGATCCTAATCTCGTTTAACAGATATACGAATTCCTTTGCTATGTCAAACGAACGACATATACTTTTTTTCTTCTTTACGAAAGAAAACGTTTTTGAGCAAACTTGTACGTTCTAATTTCTATCGTTTTGCTTTTTCTTCACTTACTTCTTGCTGGCTTTTTGGAACGACCTTGGAACGACGTCAGCGTCCTGGAAACGATTTAACATAACCTGTAACAGAATAATTAAAGACTAAATTAGAAAGGCTACTCTCGCCATATACTAATTGAAGAGGAGAGGGTATGAGGGTATGAGGAGAGGTGGGGATTGGTAAGTCTCTAACGAGGCTGAGGTTCCTTATCGAGAACCTGCATAAAGCGGTCGGACACGCGCAACGACGCGCGCGGGACAACATAGTAGGTGGCACTTAACGGACCCGCATAAAAACTTTCCTTTTTTCCGCTTCGATAAGCTTTGCCGAAAGAAAAGAGAACAAGAAGAAGAAAAATAAGACGACAGTAATCGTCGGGATGCGAAAAAGGCCTTCCGATGCAGAGACTCCTACCTTGTGTGTCTTTTAAAAGCCTAACTCCCCACTTACCTAAACCCCCTACCGTCTTCTCTCCCTTAACGACCTGCTTTAATTCGAGTCGATCGTAATGACGATTCGTTAGCTACCTAACAACCCCCTACCCCATCGTCGGAATATCAACCTTAATATCGCTTTATAAAAGAAAGAAACTCAGCAACCATCCGATAAACGATCGTCTCTCGTTCAAGTTAATGACGAAGGAAACTATTTTACTTACGTACATGGGCATACGAACAAAATTTAGTCAATTTACGAGTCTACAATGTAAGACCAAAATTCAGTCATTGAATTTTTTAAACAAGTTTTTACCTAAATCGGTATATTTATAGGGTGGTATACTGATTTCTACATGTATCAAAGTTAAAGTAGAATAAACACAACGGAGTTAGGTGACTTTTCCCGCGCTATTTGATCGATGCCGTTTTCTGTAGTGACCGATCGTCAGGTATAGACGATCATAGCGTTAGAAAAGAGAACCCTGGTAACGGAAGAATGAGCAAGAGAGATGAATAGATACCTTAGCGAGTGAAAGAAAGAGAGAGAGAGAGACACGTGTACACATACAGAGAGAGAAAAAAAGAGTGGGAGAGAGAGGGCCCGACCGTCTCGCAATCTCCTTTCGATCCAATATCCGAGTTTTTTGACAGCAATTTCGGTCACGTCCGATAATATATCTGGATCATTAATATAAAGCTCGGCCCACACACCGCGCGTCCCTCACGGGGAAATTGCTTTTCAATCCCCTGCAGCGGCCTCCGCCGCTCCGGCAGATCTACTCTCACCACTGACACAACCTCTACCTCTGCACCCCCTCCCAGAACATACCCAACTAACCACCCACCCACCCATCCACCTACCAACCACCCCTTCTTCCTTCTTCTTCTCTCCTATAACTTGACTCTCCTCCTCCCTCTCCGCACGACTTCATTCCCGTCCTTTCTTATTTCTTTTGACCATTTTATTTGAACAAATATTGTCAATGAAAACCATGCAAGAATAAGCTTGCAGTATATTACTCTTTTAAATGCTAAATCTAATTTTCTAAACTAAATAAAATGAACTAATATACGAGTGAGATCGTGTAAGTGTTTTCTCTATCGTTTGTCTATTTTATTTTTACGATAAATAGAAAGAAAATACAAATCTTTTTTATTTTATTACTTTAAAATCATAGAAGAACAATCTGTTGCATTACTTCGATGGTACCTAAATAATATTTTGTAAAAGAACAAAAGAAACTATTATAATATAATATACGGGCGAGATCGCGTGTAAATGTCTTATCCATTGTTTGTCCTTTATATTTTTGAGATAAGAGGAAAATATAGATAACTGATTAGGCGAGCAGTGTTCGGTCTTTTTATTATTTAACTCGGTCTCTATCGGGTCTCTAACGAGCCGTACAACGAACACAACGCCGGCGGATGCGGGTTTGTGCGAGCCGTTTAAAACGTTCACAGTAGAAGGAGATATACGTTTTCCCTTTATCTCTCTTTCTCTCATTCGTGCGTCCAAGAGTACTGTTTGCTTTTAGGCACGGACGTGCTAATCGATCGTGCATATTTGATTGCCATTTACCAAATGCAACTCGCATCGCCGTTGTTGCTTCCTAACCCTCTCTGTCTCTCTCTATGTGTGTGTGTTTCTCTTTTATAATGGTGAGCTTCGTAACTTTGGAGTTAAGATGAGTGTGAAAAAAAATAAATAAAAAGAATCTTACGATAGATGTATTCGTCGACGACACCAATCACCGACGAGTATAAACGTGGTGGGGAAGATTCGACGCACGTTATTCGTTAGCATAAACATAACGAAAGGCACGTTCGGTGAATGCGCTTACTCTGCTTGTTGGATTTGTTCGTTGAAATAAAGGGAATACCATAGGGAAAGACGAACGAGTAGGTACTTCCAAGCTGAAAGAGCTTTATAAATTGGCAGCCGATCGCATTGAATGCATTTTAATATCCTTTACCCACACGATCTCCAATATGGCCATTTTCTAGATTCCCGTAGAATCAATAAAAGTCCTTGCATCATGCACGACGATACGTACGTACTACCATACGTTATTCCATCGAGAAACTGTTGGAATAAAAATCTAATAACAACCGAGTTGTAACATCATCTCATCTAAACTTGCAACTACAGTTTTATATAAACATAGATATGTATATGGATGATGAAACCATTCCCTGTAGTCAATCTGTATAAAATTAATTCTATTCCGATTGTTTTTTTTTTTTGAACAAATGGATCCTTGCCAAAATCCCAAATACATTAACAATGCTAAAGAATTTCAATTTCAATTCTATAATCTAGATATATTACCAAAGGTACAATATATAATGTATTCCCAAATTTTGTAACGCCATGCCGCACCCCTTTAAACGAGACAACATCCATGACGATTCGCGAATATCGGCCGATGCGGAAAATCCTGAGAGAGAAAAAAGTTTCTTTTGGAAATAGAGGCAAACGGGCTAGGCACGCGCGCGTCTTCCTACACTTCTCTTCAACCCCTCTCATCCATCGTCGACAATATCGAGGATGGCCGAAAGTGAAAAAGTAACTAATGTAAGAAAGAGACAGAGAAAAGGAAGGAAAGAAAGAAAGAAAGAAAGAAGGAAAAGCATAACCAAGGTGAACGTAGTATCTATACAGCACCGTTACCAACTCAAAGCTGTGTGTACGGAACACCCTCCATAAAGAAGATCCCCTCAATCAGATAAAAAATGTATTATAGCCGCCATGATACAGGACTCAATACTTCGACGGAGCTTCCAAGGGAAAAGGACGGCGTATCCTCCTGTAGGATCCCATCCCTTACTCCATTCCCTATCCCTATCCCTATCCCCTCTCCTTACTTTTCTAGATACTTACCCCCACTCTTAACTTTTCCATTCTTTTCTCTCTTTCCTTCCTTCTTTCTACATTTACGTACGTGATACACGCGTTTACATTCACCTATATTGATGCCCCCCCCCATCTCTTTCTCTTTCTCTCCCTCTCTCTCTCTCTCTCCCTCACCTTCTTCTACTACTATCTATCTGTCTGTCTTTCTCGTGCACACGTCGAGTCTCGTACTCTCCTTTCCTGGAAATTGCTATCGAGCGATTCAACCTCGAATGCAGATCGCTGCACTCTCCGACTCTTCGGGATGACATTCGACGAAATTAGATTCCAAGGAAAGGAGAAGAGACGACACGCGCGCGCGCACACACATCCACACACACACCCTCGCTCGAGATGTTGCTATCCTTTCCGATTTTCCTACTGCATTCTACCAATGCTCATCCTTCTCCTTCCCTTCTACCAACCCTTCCGTCTCAGTCTCGTCCTACTCGTCAATCGGTTTGTCTTCCGGACCAAATCAACCCTTTTTCAACCACGATTCAAATCTTCTTTTTAAAACAACCCTTTGTGATTTATCTCTACCCAACATATACGAAATCCCAAATAATATTCAACTTATGCCGATTGCTTAACGACATCATGACATTTCTTACACCAACTTAAATCCTTCGTAGCAAACGAATGAAGGGGTAGAAAACAACATTGTTCATCACATATTGCAGTAGTACCGTTTACTCGTTGGACCCTACCGTACAGAGAAACAACACCTAAGTGGTTGATAAAAAAAAAAAAGTACGTGACTTTTTGTCGTACACAAAGATTCCTCCTTGTTTAACACGCAATAAGATTGAAGATGATTTTTTAGAGATTTGGTGGCAGCTGGGTGGAAGAGGGAAAAACTGAGATGAAAGTTTGAACGTTTCTAAGAGAATATTAAAGTGGAAAACGACGAGGCAAGTTGAGAACCGCCGTTGGCAAACGTAGCGACCAACGGACGCATCTAAGTTATTTACTCGAGAAGGATAGAGAGATAGAAAGAAAAGGGAAGGAAGGAGAGAAAGAGACGAGTGGAACGAACGGCCAGATATCCAGGGAGTCTGTCAGTGGAAACATCGAGGGGTAATTTTATCCGCACTTAGCAGATGGATTCACCCTCGTGCCACCACACGATACCCTTCTCCTTCTCTTTCTCTTTTTTACTTTTCTTTTTATTTTTATTTTTTCTTCTTACTTTTATTCTTTCTTTATCTTGGTCTTGTTAATCCATCGATAAATCGATCGATAACATTCGATTATCCCTATTCTCGGTATTTAACACGTTGTTAGTTACTTTCCCCTTTTATATAGGTTACAGAAACCTTAACAATACCTTTTTTACATGTATGAGATTTTTCTTAGAAGTCAACAGCACACAAAGTATACCGAACGATCACCCCCCACCCAAGTACTGATCGTGAAATCCTTGGGATAAATAAAATCCTTGACTTATAAAACGTTCTCACATAGAACCGGACTCTTAAACGTTCCCATGGTGTTCTAATGCACGCGCATAAGATGACTCCTGATGTGCATCATGAGATAATGAGTCTCATCCGGACCGAGCAAAAAGTTGCCACGAAATTGGCGACACGTGTGTACCATCGAGTTAACAACCAAAGACGAATGGGAGTAAAGGAAATACTAATAATACTAATAATAAAAATAATAAGAAGAATAACGATGATGATGATACTTCGGAGAAAAAGAAAGAGAAAGAGAAAGAGAAAGAGAGGAAGATCATTTTTCA